TTTATAATAAATGTAATAGTGTTAAGGATGGAAACGATTGTGCATTTCTTATTCATGCTAATTCAACACATCATAAACTGTGTGAGACTAGAGCTAAAGATTTAATCAAATTGTCTCAACATATTGACAAGGTGATGCATACTGTATTGGAAAAGGAACTTCAGAAACGTCATTTGCGTATAATGACTTCAATTAAAAGTGTTTAATGGCTGGCATTTCAAGGTTTTGGGTACAGAGGCAACGACAAATCACCATATTCTCTTAATCGTGAGAATTTTATACAACTAATAAAGTATGCGGCAGGTTTGAGTCCAGAAATTAGAAAAATTGTATTAGAAAATGAACAACAAAAAGCACAATACATTGCTCCAACATTGCAGAAAGAAATTTTGCATATTATGGCCAATAGAGTACTAGGAATGATTTGAAAGGAAGTTGGGGATGAATGTTTTTGCATTCTTGTTGATGAAGCACAAGATGCATCAAATCGAGAACATATGGGGATTATCTTGAGGTTTGTGAATAGTCATGGCCGATTAATAGAACGTTTCTTTGCAATCAAAAGAGTTAGTGATATCATGTCGTTGAATCTCAAAAACAAAGCATGTGATGTTCTTTCTCAATATGAACTTCAGGTGAACAAAATGAGAGGACAAGAGTATGACGGTGTGAGTAATATGCGCGGTGCTTGGAATGGACTTCAAGCATTATTTCTTAGAGATTGTGAATGTGCATACTACGTCCATTGTTTTGCTCATAGATTACAGTTGACATTGGTCGCATTAGCTAAAAATGTTCCTGTCATTTGAAATTTCTTTTCTCATTTAGACAAGATTGTCAATATTAGTTCTTCTTCTCCTAAATGAGTTTCTAAGTTGCAAGCTTATCATAGAGAGGAAATTCAGCATATGATGGCTGTTGGGAGCTCGAATTTGGAAGTGGAGCTAATCAAATGTTTAATTTGTAGCGGTCAGGAGCTACTCGTTGGAGTTCACATTACGATTCTGTAAAGAGCTTGATAGATATGAATGGTTCAACCCGTAAAGTGCTTGAATATATTTGTGACCATTATTCAAATGACAGATCTTTGGCTGAAGCTCGTGGTGCTTACAAAAAGTTGGTGAGTTTTAAGTTCATATTTATCTTGCATTTGATCCATATCTACTACAAAACAATTGTTTCAAAAATTGAGAGATGGCGGTCGGGAAGAATTTCTTCAGAAAGTGAATTTTTTTTGCTCACAATACATAATCTAGAAGGTTTGTATAACATTGGCTGTTCTAGTGATGAAACTACATTTGAGCATTATTATCACTATAATGTCTTCATCGAATCAATCGATTTTGTGACGGTGGAGTTAAATACAAGATTTAATGACACATCAATTGAACTCCTTTCTCTCAGTACTGCTTTGAATCCTAAAGATTCATTTAGATCATTTGACAATCGTAAAATTTGCACACTTGCAGAGAAATTATATCCTCAAGATTTTTCAAAGCAAGACATTATTACATTATTATTTGAGTTATCACATTATAAGTTAGATATGAAAGGTGATACTCGATTTCAAGTATCTACACTTGTTGAGTTATGCGGACAGTTGATTGAGAGTGGAAAGTCGAAAAGTTGCATTATGGTGAATAGATTGGTTCATCTTGTATTGACATTACATGTTTCTACTGCAAGCACTGAGCGAGCATTTTCAGCAATGAAACATGTGAAGACAACACCTTGCAACAAAATGGAGGATGATTTTTTTGCTGATTGTATGATACTTTTTATAAAAAGAGAATTTGCTGAGAAAATCGATCTAGATATATTAAAGATGAATATTATATTTCAATTCTCATTGGGAACGACTTAAATAAATAATGCCCCATTCTCTATAGCACAAACACGTGTGTGGCGAGCGAAAGCAGCTAATTCATACTTCAGTGCAAGGGAAACTGGAAACTGCACCTTTCTCCTTTCTGTGAGCCCTCTTAGACCTCTCCTATCACCATAGAACACGTCAACATCTTGTAATTCGAGTATGTTGAAATTAAGCAAGTCCTTCAACAATTTCTGCTTTCGTATACAAATTTCAGCATAACAAACAAGCGAACTCTTTTTCTCAATAAATTTGAAGTAAACAAGACAAATCCCTTGTGACCTGTTCTTACCGTTTAGAAATGTACATAAAACATTCACGAGATTACAAATTTATTGCTGACTGATAAAAGTGCTAATCCGAACTTAAGACCAACTACGAAGCACATAGATGGGAGTTCATCAACAAATTTCAACATGGTCAAGAATAAACAAAATCCCTGAATAACTGAGCATCATGTTTTGAACTCAGAGTCCTTTATCAAAATCACTGCCTTATTCAGCATATAGCAATCTTTGTATCTTACATGACAGAAAAGTTGTGGCAGTAGTATAAAATAGAGGGCATCACGAAAATGCCTAGTTTATAATCTACTCTTCTTTAGAGGTCCCATTTCCTTTGCCTTGGCTCTCAGCAAATGCTTCTGTATTTTTCCGGTGGCTGTTTTTGGCAAGGGACCGAAGAATATGGACTTTGGAACCCAATAACCCGGCATATTTGCTCGACTGAACTTCATTATATCTTCTGCTAGGCGGTGTTGATCAGAGGTATTGACTCCTGGCTTTAATGTCACAAATGCACAAGGCGATTCACCCCATCGTTCATCGGGCCGAGAAACTACAGATACTTCAAATATGTCCGGGTGTTGATATAAAACATTCTCGACCTCAACACTACTGATGTTTTCACCTCCTGAAATGATTATATCCTTCGACCTGTCTTTAATTTCTATGTAACCATCAGGATGTTTTACAGCGACATCACCCGAATGAAACCAACCGTTCGCAAATGCCTCTTTGTTTGCTTTAGGATTCTTTAGGTATCCCTTCATAACAATATTTCCCCTGAACACAATTTCTCCGACTGTCCTCCCGTCTGCAGGTACAGGCTTCATGTTTTGGGTGTTAACAACATCTAAGCCTTCCAGAGCAACATATCTAACACCTTGGCGTGCATTCATACGAGCTTGCTCTTCGGGGGGCAATGAATCCCACTCAGACTTCCAAGCACATATTGTAGAGGGGCCGTAAGTTTCAGATAGACCGTAAGTGTGTGCGACTCGAAAGCCACGTTGTGACATAGCAAGGAGAACGGAAGGGGGTGGAGCTGCCCCTGCTGTCATTACATGAACAGTGCGACGAAGAGGAAGCACAATTTCCTCTTTTCTTGCATTTGCTATGGTATTGAGGACTACTGGAGCAGCACAGAAATGGGTGACACCAAGGTCGGCTATAGCTGAGTAAATGGCTTTTGCTGTCACCTGCATAGAATTACAGAGAAGATCAAATCATGCAATTTGCTTATTGTTCAAACTATACAAAGAAAATTTAAGTTTGAAAAATTCATCCTCAATCCACATATATTTGAACATGTAAGCAAACTAAAGAAAAATGTTTTTGAAAGTCTGCAACTCAAAGCTGCACCAGAGACTCATTCCCAAACACCAGTAAGTTTGATTAATATTCACCTATCTAATGCAAAAAATATATCCTCATCAGCAGGCAGCAAAAATTGGTACACGCATGAACTCAACTCACTGCATGTACAAGATAGCATCCTCGAGAGGGATTGCATCAAGACTAAATTTAAATAAATAAACATGTCCTTCATCTCTAATAGCTTAAACTTTTAAATGGGGCGGTTTAACGTCATATAGATGATCATACAACAAAAATTGCTATCTAATTATCCCCTGAAGGCAAGAAAAAAATGCCAGAAATCTACCTGTCTAAGGCATATATTTGTACCACAAATTGCTGCAAGTGTCCAAGCGAAACACCAGCCATTACAATGGAACAAGGGTAGGGTCCAGAGGTACACGGCTGCTTCTTGCATTCCCCATACAATGACGTTACTCAGAGCCATGAGGTACGCCCCTCGATGGTGAAGCACCACACCCTTCGGACTAGCCGTTGTTCCCGAAGTATAACCGAGGGAAATGCTGTGCCACTCGTCCTCCGGTGGTTTCCAAGCAAATTCAGGGTCACCAGTCTCGAGGAACTTTTCATATTCAATTGCCCCTTTTCCAAGAGCGTATTGGAGTGTCTTTGGGTCGCAGTTCTCATCTGCAATAACTATAATTATTGGAGACGTGAAATTGCCTTTGCCTTCTCCTGCTAAAATTTTCAAAGCTTCCTCGGCCAAGGTGAAAAACTCTTGATCAACCATTATCACAGAAGATCTTGAATGTCCTAAAAGAAAAGCAATAGTCTTTGCATTCAAACGAATGTTGACAGCATTTAAAACAGCTCCAGACATTGGAACTCCAAAATGAGCTTCGTACATGGCTGGAATGTTGGGTGCAATCACTGCAACCTGCCATTATAAAATAGGGAGGAAACGTTTAGTAAAAGTGCGTCAGTTTTCGCCACGAAATCCAGGACAATTTAGAGACTCAGCAGAAAAGAAGAATAACTTTGCATTTTTACGGAATTTTTTCGGATTTAGTTTGGAAGTCATTATCCTTTTTTTCTTGCAAGTGACTATGGCAAGTGAAAGTAATGACTCCTCTGACTTTTAACGGCATGCAATACAAAAGATGAAGAGTGCACACACGATATATCAGATCCACGTAATGAATTTAACTATGAAAAATGGTGATTATACCATGGACCTTTGAGATTGTAATTGCTGAACGAGGAAATTAACAGCTCTTGCACAACTAGTTACATCCTTTCTTCTTTCATTTGACAGAGTTAAGAACACCAACACCAACACCAACACCAACATAAGATAGACAGTGAGATTATGAACTTCAAAACTAAACTAAACAAATACTTAAAGCTCGATGTTTTCCCTTTACTTGTGGAGACAACGGAACTAGTAACTAAGAGTGTGTTTTATTGACTTTATTTTTCATGGAAAATGTCACGATTCCACCCAAATTCCTACTTTTAGGTGTTTGATTGACAATTTTTTCCATGAAAAATATTTTCCAACTTTAGGTCATCTGACCATATTTTCCTCAAAAGCAAGGAAAATACCTTCTTTAAGGAAATGAGGTTTTTATTTTCCACATAATTTACAATTTCATTCTCTCTTGTCTATCCCTTCTTTTCTCATTTGTCTACCAATAAAAAATAAACAAGTATAATATTTTCTACATTAAAAACTGAATCAATCAAACACACTTAATTAATAATTTGCATACAAATAAGTTATAGCCAATTGAATTGTCTAGAATTTCTTCTCTCTGCAAATTCCATGCTCGCAACGTACTAAATTCTTTTATATTATCTTCAATTCTAATTTCTCATTATCAAACAAATTAACATCCACAGACTGAAAAGTCAATATACACAGAGTAAATTAAGTAATTAACACTAGCGAGGAAAAAAATTATAATAAAAATATCCAAAAAATTTATTAGAGATAAAGAATCAAGCTTTACACAGCGACAATTGTAAAACATAATCAAGCTTAATTCTATAAAAATGATTTAAGGACTCATTTATAAATATAACAACTCCTTATGTTTACAGTAATACAAGTAACTCTCTGGATTTGTTTAATTTTTTATATCAGATATGGTTAACTATGCTTCATGAAAAGAAAACATGCAATCAAATTTCATTAAAAAAAAAAAAAAAATTTAATCCTTGATCTATCTTGAAACTAATGATAAATCACTTTTATTAAATAATAAAAACAAAAATATTAAAAAAGTCATTTAGAATATGGAGATATAGAAATGATACCGTGCAACCAAAGGTGACGGCTTGTTTGGTGAGGGCGGAGGCTAATCGGCGGCACCGCCGATAAGTATCTTGCCACGTGTAAGTCAAAGAGCCGTGGATTACGGACTTCCTGGTCGGGTGCACCAAAGCCGCCCGCTCCAAGAATCCGAGTGGTGTTAACGCAGTGTAATTGGCTGGATTTTTAGGTAGATCGTCGATATCTCTCTCTACTATCCCCATCTCTCAATCTGGAAAAAAATGTTAATGAATATTGTGGGTGTCAGCGTGTGCGTATGTATGTATATATAGATACAGAATCGTGTTTTCTTGAAGGGAGGTGGAGAATTTTGTTTGGTTTTGTGTAGTGTTCTAAACTTGGAAGTAGCGAGTGGAGAAGTTGACAGTAAAATGGATGGGAATTGGAAATTTGCTTCTTGGGGTATGTGTGTGCGGCGTCTGATATCAACAATGAATCAATGATATGGCTAGGGAAAAAAATTCAGGGAAATCATAAATTATCATTGGAGGACGACAAAATTATAAAAAAAGCAGTCATACATACACGTGCTGCTATCTATTTTTTCCTGTACTTGTAGAATAATTCATCTGATATACATAAGCCCCCAATTCGACACCCTTAAAATTTAAAAAATATTATTTTGAATAGTATTTTTTGAATAATGTGCGATTACGAAATATGGAAATATTTTGGAGAATACGTAATTAAAAAGTATGAAAAATTTTGAATTTACATATAAGATATTTTATTGTGTGAATACGTAATTGAAAACGATTATGAAAAATAAATTAAAGTAAAGTAAAGGATGCCAACGGGGGCTAAATTTGTAGTTCTCATCTACATAGTAGATTAAGCTACGTTTGATTAATTTGTACGGTAACACGTTTGATAAAAATGATTAGTCTCCTAAAATGTGCATTTGAAAATGAATTTAAAGTAAAATAATTTTTAACAAATGAAAGCCAAACATGGATTAATATGTACGCGTAACACTTTTCTTATGTTTAATACACTGAGTTGAGTCATTTCAGTTGATACCATTTAGAATCGGGGGAATTTACAAAAATAGTCAATTTCATACTTATCAATTGAAAAGTGTCAAATTTTGATAACTTCTGCAAAAATGACCAAATTTGGTATCAAATTATCTATTACACCCTCAATAAAAAATGAAGCAATTTTTTTTTTTTAACTTGTCACGAATTTAGAGAAGAATAAATAGCTTCCATCAGAAGCCACTAATACTAGCTAATAACTAATGGATTCATTTGCTTTTATTATGTATTTGGTATTGATCAAGAAATTTGAGAAAAAATAAAGGTGGAGTTGAAAAATCATTAATACTAAAAAAATAATTATATGCTTCCAATTTATAAGAAAATCATATAATTTCATTTCGAAAAATTTTATCTCATCTAAATTTGCAGTTGATTAGGCTTTCCACAATTCTAGGTAGAAGGTAATTTTTTTTTTTTTTGAAATCTTGTTTTGTTGATAAGTTGTGTTCTTGACATTTCATGATATTCTCGACATTTTTAAAAATGTTATCGACATGTAGACCATATTTATCTTGACACTTTATTTGTTCAGAATGAGATTTCGTTCTGACCGTGAGAGTTTTTTGCATTTCATAATGTATTTGACATTTTAAGTGTACTTCTCAACATCTCATAAATGTTTTATTCATCCGCTTATAGGAAGAAGTAAGCATTTAATGTAAGCTTGACATGATACTTTTTAAAATAAGTAGCATAGATTTTCCGTCAAGTTATTATTTGTTAATACGATTTTTAATTATATAAATAATTTTGTCTTCATTATGAAATTTAAAATTGTTAATGAGGGTATTTCGGTCTATATTATAGTAAAACGGATATTAAAAAATTTTTGAATATTTTTACAGATGATTATATAAAAGTGGACATTTTTTACAATTTCTTCTTTAGAATATGATTTGACTGAGTTTAGGAGCTCGTAATTTTTAGTGTTGAGTGACGAATCACTTCGTTAATTTATGTCTCGATGTCTATGTAACGTCATGACAAATTGAGTGTAATTATTATGTGGGCCCTGCTACTCAAACAGGGTGGAAAATAGGCACAAAAACAAGGGGCTGAGGTGGATGCACCTCAGCCCTTGATTTCAATTACTATAATTGAAATCAAGACCTTAGCCCCCCGTTTTTGGGCCTTTTCTTGCTTTGTTTGAGTAGCATTATATGTTACACAAAGATACAAAAAGATTTCAGTACAAATTATTTAAATTTGAAAAATCAAAATGTTGAACAAGAGAGAGGAATACAATTGAAATTGTTAGGCATCTTTTATAATTCACGGTGTCGATAGTAACAATTTCGCATGTCAAAAATTTCACTTAGGTGATTGATTCTAGTGCTTCATATCACGGTACTTATGATATTAAGCATCTGTTTAAATTACGTTATTCACAATTCATTGTCAATTATATATTCTCTCGACATAATAACTGTACATAATTTTTAAATTTTTTTTCTTATTTCTCACCACACATTTTTTTGAAAAAAATTATTTTAATGAAGTTTATTCTCGAAAAATGGATCGAACTATGGTGTTTGTTTGAGACTTTGAGTAATCACACTAAGTGACGGCCGCAACATTGAAGTTCTGTTCGGATGGATGATGATCATTGACCGTCGACAATTAACGATAGTGGGGTTGTTTATTAATATTTATTTAAATAATATTAAAAATTATTCAATATATATGTAAATGCTAATCTTCTTAATTCTTGTTGTATTCTTCAAATTTATAAATGTATAAACATAAAAAAAAAAAAAAAACTGAAAAAGAAAATTAATATTTATTTAAATAAAATTAAAAATTATTCAATATATATGTAAATGCTAATCTTCTTAATTCTTGTTGTATTCTTCAAATTTATAAAAGTATTCAAAAAAAAAAAAAAAAAAAAACTGAAATAGAAAGCAAAGCTCGAGACGGATACTGGAAAGAGTTAAACAAGATAAAACACTTATCAATCAAGAAGTTGGCCAATCTTGAACTTGGATTTCCCTAAAAAGCAGTAATTAAACGGAAAAAGCACGCCAAAAATTGGTTCTTTTCTCATAACTAGAAATGAGAAAAGCATAAAAAATATTATCCACCAACACTTTCCTAATTTCAAAATTAAGATCAAAATCCATCATCCATGACTCCCCATTATTTTCAGCATCCAAAAACACTCTCAATCTCCAATTAAGAAAATGCATACAAATAAATAATACCCAGTTACACCATAATCATCAAAAA